GACCTCCCAACTCCCCCTTCGATCCCCCCCTTTAACCCCCCGGTGGTCGGACTCCCTCGATCTACCTCGCACCTCGGTGACGAGGGGTTTGCGGGAACACCGGGGATGTTAGATTGGTACATCGTGGAAGAGCGTGGGGGGCGGGGGGTCACGTTCCGCATCTCTCGCTTTCGGGCGCAACGTACGGCGACGTTAACGTCAGCGGGTGCGACCTTCGGTTTGGTATGTCTTCCCTCGTGCATCTCTAGTTTCGACTTTCTTCAGCTTCGGGGACGCATAGCCGTTCCACCGATGGCAAGAAGTATTTTTAATTACGCGTTTTTGCATCGGGTTCCGCGCTCCAAGCGAAAATAAACGCGATGGTGTTGAAATACTTTTTAGTAGCTAGCTGCGTTCCGCGGAGCGCGCACCGACGTTTCTTCTGTGCACTCTCTCGACCCCGGCGGCGGTTATTAAACGAGAAAACGAGACCGCGGTTGTGAGAGAGACCTTGGTTCCCGGTCCGCGGGTCCTCGCGGATTCCCTGGCACGGTTCGATATACCCAGAGGTTATTTAGACCCACCGGTTAATGGCGTCCGCTCGCAACCTCGCGACGCGGCCAGACCCCGCGTGATCTCATCGCCCCTTTTTTAACCCACCACGTTCCCGCTCCCCAATTTTTAGCCTCGCGATCGCGTGTATAGACCGAGTCCGACCGCGTTTTATCGAACGCACCGAGTTCCCCTGTCGCGAGGTTTTTCGACCGTAGTACGCGTAGCCAGCGTAACTGTAAAACGTTGGAAATCGAAAGCGAGGCAATTAGCGATAAGTGTATCTCGGGATAGATGCCTCGGCCCTGGGACGTCTCCTATCTCGGAGGTATACCTCGTATCTCTCCGAACCGTAAAAGACTCGAAAAATCCATTGCGAGAAAAAAGGGAATACGAAGGACTATAAATACGGCGCGTTACGCCGTCGCCTCTACTATCTGCGTGAACAAATGCTAACCGAGTGTTCGAGCTCGCGTTTCTACTATACGTGGGCAGTCGTTTCCCTTTCCTCTTATCGCGCGGACAACTCCTTTCCGGTTATTCGCCTGGGATCAAACGTCTCTTATTAAAACGATCTCTCTTAAGAATCGGCGTTACGCCGCGCCGTTATTCATGAGGGAACTTTCTCCTACGCGTGGAATCGTGACCTTGCCAGGCCTTCCGCCTGTTCTTAGTTCGACGTACGGTCGCGGCACAGCCAGCGGTTGACATTGAATCGTGGCGGGATACGTTCGCGATATAATACGGCGCGCACGTGGAGAGGAAACTTGTACACAATGAGGCACGCCGGTGAAAACGCTGTGGTATAACAAACGAGACTCCCGCGTCCATACCGCCGCGGTTCCTGTGTTCGGCGCGTACGGCTACGTTTTCTCTGCCTCTCCGCCGGCTCGCTCTCTTTCCCGTCCGGGGGTCTCGTGCACACGCCCACACGTAGAGAAATCGTATACGTACACGTAAACTAGGTATAACTCGGTCTCGAGTTCTCGAGGTGTGTTTCTGTTTTACCTACCGCCGACTCGTAAACGCAGTTTAAGCGACTTCCAGCCGGCAGTCAGCGCCGCTCTCACATTACGGAAGCGAAGTTTTCAAGTTCCGCGACACTGACCCAGTTTATTCTCTCTCCCTCCTCCCCGCCTTCGCCCTCCGTCTCGCTCCTCGCACGCTTCTCTCTCGCACTCGTGCCCACCACCCTCTCCCTTTCCATTCCTAATACTTTCAGTCTGCCGGTAGTTACAGTTTCCCGCAGGTAGCCGGCTATACGTATACGTCTGCGAATGCACTCAACTCTCGGCTCTCTTCCGCCTCTTCCTCTTCTTCTTCCTCTTCGGCCACGAGAGTTCGAACTCTCTTTTGCCCTTGTCGAGCGACCGATCGCCCATCCGTGATAACCGGATGCGCTACTCGCTCGCCTCTGAACCGTTCGTTGTACCTCCTTCCAGCTTATTTTTAATATAAAAATCAACGTTCATTAAGATTCATCCGCGTTACCTTCGCAGAATTTAATTTAATTACCGGAAAACTGGAGGAACGGTCGACGTCGAATTAATGCGTGCACTCGTTCGAAGAGAAACAGAGAGGGAACAGAGTTAATTCGATTTACGTAATCGAGTCGTTATTCTTAGTCGGACAGCCGCGATAAACGTTCGGCGTCGCGACACTGTTCGCGAGCAGGATTTAATTTGTACCCGCTAGTTCTAATGACCCTAATACCGACATTAGCGGCCCCGTGTCGCGGCTAAAACGGAGTTCGCGCGTCCCCTCCAGGCATTTGAACGTCGTGTTTTCTTCGTTTTCAGAATACGCACCGCGGCGACGGCGGCGGCGGCGGCCTCGTTTTCGAAATACGTACACCGGACGCGTAGAAGAGACGCGCGAGCGCGACCGTCCGCACCGTTTCCAGCCGATCGCAACGAAACCCATAAAAGCCGTTGCCAAATCGTCGTCAACGATCCCCCCTCGGCGCCCCTTCGTCGTCTCGTCACGTTCCCGCTACTCGCCCCGTCTCTTTCTCCGCGCGCGACGCGACGCGTCTCTGTCCATCGCCCGCTCCGTTTAACTTGGCTAGCGCCGTCTGCGTCGCTCTCTCATCCGCTTCATTGTCCGCGCCTATATCCCCTTCGGCACGTCTCACCTTTTTCGATCGTCGTCGGAACGCGAGGCCCCACGCTTCACGATTGGAAAGCGTCGCCCCACCCTATCCTCTCTCGTTCTCTCCTCGTCTCTCCCGACGACACGATTCCCCGCGGTCCTCGTCCCGCTTCTAGCCGTTTCGCCGCTCGATCCTCTCGTCTTTTTTTTTTTTTATCTTTTTCCAGTCGTCTCGCGCGCTCTCCGTCCATACGTACCCCGTGGCGAGACGATTCGATATCGCGGCGGTAGCGGCTGGTGGCGGCAGCGCGACGTTGGCCGGCTGTGCCAGAAGAAAAGAAAAAATGCCTCTGACGCTCTCCCGGGAGAAAGAGTAACAGGCCTCCGTGAGACGCGCGCAGGAATAAGCGTAAAAGGGGGCTGACGGGGCAGCGGGGGCGGGGAAGAGGACGCGTACACGCGGCGGCACCAACACCCGACCGCGCTCGGCACATGTATCCGTCCGTGGGTAGGGCCCCGACCAGCCATCAGCCATCCTGTCATAGACAGGATGCGAGGGTCCGCAAGTCCGAGCCGAGTCCGCGTTTCGTCTCATCCTCGTGTCTCATACCCATCGACGCTTCATTCCTCCTGGCCCGGTCTTTATCATAATCTACTACTGTTCACTATCCTAATGATTACCGGACTATCATAAACATACAGTAGACTCCCGTGTACTTAACACGATTCTTCGTATAACGCGAAAAACAATGAAACGGGGATTAACTGATTTGACAATTAAATCTGCTTTCATTGAACATTAGAAGAACGAAATGCATTGCATAATTACGTTTTCATTCAATTTTATTGAAAGAAGAGATTTCTTACATAGGTATAGACCATTTTCTTTCTCTTACGTATGTCTTTCTTAATCAACTTTGCAGATATGCCATTTATTTTAAAAGTATTGTCCGTTTGCTCGTTTAAACATTGTAGACACAATTTTTCCTACGAGTGCATAAAATCCGCGGACTAATTATAAACTAGAGGCTTGATGTGGAGCAGTATTTCGTGAATCACCGGGTCGAGACAACGTAACTAATTTCTACGTTGGAGATACCCGGTAATCGATCTCTCAAAAACTGGTTTCGATCGAATTCATCGGCGCGTCCACGTCGCGGCTGGTGTCGTTACGCTCGGCGGCGTGCACGCCTCCTTTTTTTTTCCCCCTCGCGTGTTTTCTCGTCTCGTCTCTGCCCGTCCGTTACGTTTTTCCCGTTTGCGAGCCACATACAGCCGCGACTACGCAGAAGCACGCGCGACGCGCACTCCGCAGAATTTAAAAAGGAGTTCACCGTCCCTCGTACGCAGGGAGAACAGAAGTGCTCTAAATTCTCTTCAGATAACGAAATATAAATCGACGGATAGAAGGCGAAAACGTCGCAGGTGCCCGAAATGGGATGATAAAACGTGAGCCGGTCAATTATGCATGGGGAACGGTTTCTGCTAATAAGGATGTCCATCGTCTGGCAATCGCGTAGCGGCCATCGCTCGGACGCATAGATTCGGAGCGCATAGCGAGCGCGAGTTCCGAGTTCCTCGCATAGCACGGAAACGCTGACGGGTCCGTGCGGTGCTGTTTCGCAGCTACGGTATACGGTATACGCGAAAGACGATGAGTGCGGGGGTAGGTGTGGCGTTCGGTGGCCAGAGGGAATGCGAGGGCGAGAGCGGGATAGATAGAGGGTCGGGCGGGCACCCGGACCGTGGTGCTCGTAAATTCTCGAAAGGAACGGTCCGTAGCAGCGGCTCTCTGTTACCTTACCGCTCTTCCCGCGGTAATATTACTCGGCTTATATTGCCGGGCCTCGGCCGTGGGAAAAGGAGCGTCCGGCGGGCGAGAGCGAGACAGAGAGAAGGACCGGTGTATACGTAAGCAGGGCGCATCCGCGGCTGGCTGGCTGGCTCGCTCCGCTTCGTTCGGCGCGGCGCGACGCGCCGCTTCGCGTGTACGTGCGAGGAGAAGCGAACCCCGAGGGATCGCCGGCCAGGCCCAGGTACGCGTACATATATACGCGCTCGTGTCTACATAGGATATGTACCAGTATGTAAGTACTCCGCGTTCCAGACCGCGCGCATGTGTGTGTGTGTGTGTATGCACGCGCGCGATCCCTCGTAAAGCAACCGTGGCGATAACCCACACCGCGACGCGCGACGCGACGTTGGCGTCCGTAGTTGTGCGCCGGCCACCGCTCGCGTTATACACACCCGTAGTTATCCCCTTTGTGCGAACCGGGGTTCGCGAGCACGCACGCACGCACGCGAGTGCGGCGAGGGAGAGCGAGGAACGCGTCGGGTAAGGATATAGAAAGGAGGGAAAAAGAAGGAAGGGACGAGAAAAGAACGGGCGAGCGACGACGACGGCGACGCTCTGCCCTATCGGTTGTCGCGAGGAGAGCAGCTGGTCGCCACGCTGCGCGACACTTGCACCTCTCCGGCTCCAAAGCGGGACCCGCATGCCGCACCGATCCCGATCCGACGTCGCTTACCCCGAGGGGACTGCGAAACCTACGTCGCGCTCGACAAACACCGTCTATTCAAAGCTTTGTTACACCTACCTACGTATCGCCCACGAACTTTAGAACGATCGACAGAACTTGGACTAATGAAACGCATAGATTTCGATCGAACGAGTTAGACCTCTTAGCTGCTTGCGAGTGTGCGTGAATCGCGATTGCTTCGCGACACGTCGCGACTGTCGCGACTCGAGGCGCTCTCGATGCTCGCCGTATCGTGGCGAGACGCGATGAGAATCTACGTTCTCCGAACGAAGCCGCCCGGTTTGACCGGATACACCCGGTACCCTCTGCCCCGTCGTGAATTTCTTTGTTGTTACATCCACGCCAGAAATCTCCCTTCCCCATTCTTTCATGCTTCTCGTTATCTCTCGTCAGCCCTCGATAACGTTTTCCGCCTATTTGCTCCTCGGGCACCGTCCGCGGCCTGAACAAATTTTCGTCGCTCGAATTAGGTTGGTTATCGCTGACGCAATATCGCGACGCTTCTTCCTTCCCATCTCTGTCTATGTATGTATGTATGTATTTCCGATACGTCCCCGATAGCTATCCCGGTACAAACAAAGTTGCAAAAAGCTGAGCCGACGGATTTTCGATTGGCGATCGATAGACCTTGGCGCAGGATATATCGGCGCGACGGCTCCTCCCGTCACGCGTCACGCCACCGCCACAAAGAACGCCGTTTGCCACGCGGAGCGGAGTTTCGCCGACAAACGCGAACGCGGCCAATCGGCTCTGTGTGAGCGCGTGTACGTGCACGGGACGCAGACCAGCGTATCGACGAACGAACGTAACCGTCATCGGTCATGGCGCAGCGCGCAATGACTAAGCGGCGCAAAAAATCCCGCGTATTACGGAGCGAGGCAGGGGACCCGCGATCATCTATAGGGGAGAAGTCCAACGAGGTGTTCGAAACTGATGGGGAAAACCGTGCTCGCCCATAATACCGCGTCCGGCCACGTCTCCTTCTTTTCCCCTCCGCGAGTCTCTCTCGCGTTTCGTAACGCGTCCCCAAACGCGTGAAACATCGGATAAACGTCAGCACGTCGATTAGATCGACATTGTTTCCGTTACAAGGACATCGGAAATTTTAACGGTGTTCATCCGAATGGACACTTCGAATGCTTGATTCTGCATAAAAATCGGCGCGGTCTAATTATAAGCTTGCGGAGATGTCGAAACCGTTTCTTCGAATCGAATCTGTCGCAATCTCGCGGGTCGCGAGTCGGATTAGGCAGCATACATTCGCGTGGAAGAATTCAGTGGCGGTGGATCGCGTGCTCGCGGCGGCTGTGTGCGTACACACGGCCACTATTAATCTCGCCCGGTGATACGTCATTCCGAAGCACCGCCTAACCGACTCTTATCGAATTCGAGCCACCCAGTGCTCATTATACATTCGAGAGGCCGGTTGGAACGCATCGGCGTACGGGAGGCGTCGCCACGGCGATGATAAATAGGGACACGGTCGACCAACTTTTTCAAACGCAGCCACGGGTATCGTGCGTCGAGGGAAAAGGGCTTGGGAGCCGCGACGGTGGCTACCGCCGCACACCTGTAACCGTTCCCCGTCTAAGAATACACGGCCGCGAGATAGAAGGTTCATTTTCATGCAATTAGTCCCGTCCGGCTGCCGGTCGATTACGCCGGACGCGCGTTTAGTCGCGCTTAAGGGAAAACTAGTTCGCGGAACGATCGATGCGATGCCCCGCTATCGATTCCCAGACACGGTCTTCGTGTCCGTACCCGTATCCGTGTACGTGTCGTCGCGTTCGAGCCTCGTATACAGCCGCGTGTTCCCTCGTGCTCCGATTCTTTCCTGTCGCCCGTGCCCGGCAGTGGCAGCAGATGTCGCGGCCCCGAGTTCTCGAGCCGTCGAAAATGCGCGACGGTTCGTTCGAAACGGCAGGCCGCGGTAATCGCCGCCGGCCAACCCACGCAGCTGTAACACGCAGCATATTTTGGCACCGACCAAAGTTTCGGAATGTATCTTTGCGTAGTCGGATTTGTTTGAGCAGCGAACATTTTTCGGGTGTAGGTGGCTGCACGAGAAGGGATAGTAAGAGAGAGAGTGACGAGGGGGGCGGGGAGGAGCATCCTTTTCAGAAGACCCTTAACCCTGCGGGTGACGGTCGAACGGTCGGTCGGTCTGTCAGTCGGTCGGTCGGCCTAACGTCGGACAAAAGGGATCAGTCGGGAGCCTGGGAGGATAACAGCGGCGCGAGACGCTCGCCGAGGGGACGATTCCGCGGCGTCAAGAGACGCGAGGGGCATGCAGTAGAGAAGTGACGAGGGGGAAGGAGAGGAGAGGAGAGAAGAGGCCTGGCAGCAGGAAGCTCGCGATGCGTGACTCACCGAACCGACCGAATGGCATAGAACCCGCGGGTTCGCGTTCGCGCTCTGTACCCGTCCCTTTCTTTTCCACGCGACGATCCCTCCATCTCTCGTTCTCTCTCGCGCTGCCGCGTCCCCGGTTTCTCGACCCATCCTACCGATTTCCCCCTTCGCTTCGCTTTCCATCACCCTCCTTTTCCCTCGAAGCGGTGGCGAGGGAGAAGAAGCCCCCTCGACGCCGTTCCCCCTTTCTCCCTTGCCCTTCCCTCGTTCACGTCGTGGGTCGCACGGCCCCGTGTCTCTCTCGGCTCCGGTTCCTGCCTGCCTAGCCCCTATATGCCCGCGGAGCCTTTGTCCTCTGCCATCGTCTCGCGTTATTTCACACTCTCTCGCGCGTCCCTCTGTCCTCTCTTCTCCGATGGACCGCGCGTGAGAAAGAGAGCCCGGCCGCGGTTGCTTAAAAACCGAAAACTTGAGACGCACGCGATGCGTCCACGGCCAGGCTGAGAAATTCTCATTCACATCCGTCTCCGAGAAATCGACTTCTGTCCGTCGTTATTTTATCGCGTTTAAATGATCGATGCCGGCGGCTGATCGTCCTTAGAGCCTGGGGCCAGATTCGCGTATACACGTTCGTGCGTATCCACGATTACGTGCACGCGTGCACCCAGCCGTGCGTACCGCGCGGTGTGCGTGCGTGCGTGCGTGCGAGCGACAATGGAAGCGGTGAGGGGCGGAGGGGCAGAGTCGCTAACTGCGTCCGAGCGAGGAATTAGCGAGTCGTGCGGCGAAGGAGACTACCGTAAAGTCGTGGCTCGTTATGCGTCCGACAGAGCCTACTCCGCCTATGTCGCAGCCTCTAGCGTACGTGCTACGTAAGTACATATATACATTATAGGAGGGAATACATACGGGGCTGGGGGTTAGGGAATGGAAGCGACGCGCGATGGGCCAGCAGGAATGGGTTCGAGGTTAATGCGCTCACCGGGTCTAATGACCAAGGACCGACTTTAGGGTGGGCCGCGCCCGTCTCCGATGCCTCCGCTGAATTTGCGGCTGCAACGGCTCGCTTTACGTAATTGCTAATTAGTAATTGCCGACCGCCGCGCCGCGACGCACCGTGCATCCGGTGAAATTTTTATCGCGCGGAATATCGAAGGTGAGCCCCGGGCTTGATTAATCGATACACTATTTTTCTTTCGCCGACACCCCTCACTACCCCCAGGCCCACGCCCCCCGCCGCTCCCTCCGCCTACAGCTTTTCCGGCGAGTCCCGCGATCGAAGAGGGAAGTATAATAGTTGCCGCTATTACGTCCGGCATCGAGAGGCAGGAAAAAGTCTAGCTCGAATATTGCGCCGATTGAGACCGGCTTTATTACTGGTCGACGACAAATAGACTCGGCCCGCCAGTACGTATTAATTGACGTTAATTAAGTCCGGGAGAGGACATTATATTAATAGGCAGGTTATCTTTCGCGACGCGTTTCCGATGCGAACTCCAACTTTCCCTTTCCATCTTGAACCACCAGTTTACTCGGTGTTGCCCGATCCGTGGGATGATTTACGACGCGATTCCGCGTTCACGGGAAAAATTCTTCTGTTCGCCGTCCCTCGGAAGGAAGGGTCGGTCCGTCGTAAAACTTACTCGGAACAACGGTTGTCCGTTGTCTACGGGTAAAATTCGGCCGCTCGGTAAGGCGCTTAAGCGCTGAGTAACCGAACAAGCACGCGGCTAATTCCGTCCCACGGAACATTAACGTAAAACATTAACGCGGAATTAAAGTCGTTAAACGCCGAACCGAATCGCCGACCATCCCCCTAACGAATGTATTTACCTTTCCTCGTTAGCCGCCGTCAAAGTATTCCAATCGCGCGATAACATCGATCGCTCGTAACGAGTCGTAGTCGAACGATTCCCATTTACGTCCCGTTAGGAAAAACATCGGAACGGTCGCCGTTCGAACGACTCCGCGTGAAACTCGCGGTCCTCTCCTATGTTTCTACGAGGACGGAGTCGTCGACTTTTCACATCCTAAGGTCGTGACGCGGCGATCTTTCGCGCTTACGAAACACGCGCGCTAAAAGCGCGGCCACGATCGGTTTGCACGGCGTTACGCGCGCGGCGTGACGTAATTGCGAGGCGAGGCGAGGCTTGGCTCGACTCGACTTCTCCTCGAAAACGCTCGTATCAGCGCCGGAAGCCGCTCGAAACGACGAAATCGCCGGATGGATCGTGTGCGGCGCACGGTTCGACGGTGTTCGTGAGACACACACACACACATACGTATTTTAACCAACACGAGAGCGTCGGGCGGGCGGCGGCGTTCCTTCGAGGCGATCTCGCTGCCAGGGCCAAGCACCCGCTCTCCCCTCCCCCCCTTCACCCGGTCTCTCTCTCTCTCTCTCTCTCTCGCACCCTCGCCTAAGCCTAAGCATCGCCTGGCAGCGGCCCACTCGCTCGCCACCGCTTTTAGGATCCAAAGCGAGCGAGACCGCGCCAAACGTTCCTAGACCGCGTTTATACTGATTTAGATCGCGAGCTGCACACGGTTTACAATTTCTTTCGTTCATTTTTCACCGAACACTCGCCTCCGAGAGGTATTTTGTTTGGGAATATGGCATGGGATCGGTATTTCTACGATGGGACACTTGAAGGTCTGATATAATATCGTGGTCGTACTACTGCGTGACTCGTCTATGGGACGAGGCCACTCACCCTCGATATGAAACGAAAGTGAATCATCGAGATAGCCAGAGGAAATCGTACTTGTTGCGTCGCTTTCTTCGAAAGTCATCGATAGACAGTTTTTATACATTTATCTAATGGTACACGAGTGTGTCTATAGATTCAGCATAAAAGGTAGCTGCTACGTAACCTGGCAGCCGCATGTTCTGCAACATTTATTACGCGTTTTCAGATGTTAGTTTTGTACACAATAACGACGGCCGTGTACACGTGCGTATATGACTGTGATCGAGATCTAGCGTAGTCATAATCTTTCGATTGTGTTAAGTACGTATTAAGAAACTGCGCTTATTACGTCTATAATTAATTCTTATGTTCACATACTTATTTATCTGTTTTTCTTATAAAAGATGAATCATGAAACGTGATCGGTTTACATTGCTTTGTTATTAGCAGATTNCTCGTAAACTATTAATGCTAGCTAAAAGTTTTTATATGGAAATTGTAGATCTCGTCGTCCTCTACAAGAAAGGTCCTATGCAATTTTCTCGTAGGACCAGCAGTTTAGGAGTTATTGAGGAAAAACGAAATTTTTTTCCAAAAGTTCGCCGTTTCGACGGTGGAATGGTCGGATTTTGTCAACATCAATAAAATGCCAATTAACTGCACTTAACTCGTTCTTTCGACGTCTGATTTCTGTTTAATCATAGGAAATGCGTTTTTCTAAGATACATAAACTTTTGGGATTGACTTTATAGCCAATACATCCTTAAATTTGTTTTAAATAACAATCTTTTTACTCCTATGCGGACACTTTATTACATTATGGATAAATACTCATAAATTATGGCATGTAAAAGATTTTATTTGTAATAATATAATGTAAAAATATGTGCTGATTGAAAGAACTTCTATCCAACGGATTTAGCTTTTTAAAATAAATAATTCCTTTTCAATGTTCATAAGTAATTATCCATAATGTCACAAGATTTTCATAACTATTGCTTTGCTGTTACGTGATGGATAACAAAGAAAAGTGAAATTGTCACATTAATGTTACATTAATTTTGTTACGTAAACGAGCCTGATATTTAGATTAAACTGCAAGTCCGGGGTTACAGATCATAAGTAACGATGTTACATAATTTTCGTGTCTGTATAGATAGTATCAGCAGCGAAATGTGTATCGCGACGTATAAAAGGGTTAGACGAATGAAATGAAACCGACACCCGTGCAAGTTTTATTTCGCCTAGTCAACGAAATCGTCTGTAGTATTCCACTGGCGGCTAGAGGCTCGCGAATAAGATCGGAGGTCGCGGGGTTCGCGGATTCATCGTCGCGTCGCGTCGTGGCAGTCACGGTTCGGAAGTGGCAATCGCATTAATTCGATTCGTCCCCGTTGCGCTATCTGGAATTGCGAGCAGGACGAGGATAAAAGATGCCCAATCACGAACACTTGCGACAGTTCGCCCTTCGCGACGTGACGTCAGTGCCGGCGCAGTCGCCGGCCGTGATTCGTCACGGTCTAGTTTCCCACCTCGTCGCGCTATATGCGACGAGAGACCAGGCCGGGTTGCTCTCCCGTTCTTTCCCTTCCGTCTCGCTCCGTTCAACCGTGCGTACTCTGTTCTCGTATCCGTCGCGCCGCAGCCGCGTTTCGTGAGTTTTGGCGCGGATGCAGCGGCCGCGCGGAGAATGCCTTTCTCCTTTCGGCTCCGCTCACGAAGCTCGTTCGATCGAGACGCGTCCTGATTAACCAAATTAAACCTAACAGACCGGACCGATGTTCGAGCAGAATCGAAAATCACCGTTCCCGGATCTTCTCGCTCAGTTCTTTTTTTTTTTTGTTCTCGTTCGAAGTCACGCGTTAATATCTTTTGCGGCGAAGGATTCGCGTTAGAAAACAATCGCAGAAAGCTATAGGTAGAAAATCTAGAGAGGCAACGTTCCAGCAGGTTTCGGTCGGTGAATTCGGTGACCGCGGTCAGCGAGCGTTCTCGTTTCTCGAGGACGCGGTTCCCAACCGCTGCTACCGTGGCGAAGAAATTTTAATTCGTCCGACCGTGCTCGATAACGCGTATCGAAACTCCGCGTCTCGCGTCGAGTCTTTCCACCGATCCCGTAGCCATCGGGCTTTCTCTCCTCTTCCACCTTTCGCCGCTATCTCTTTCCACCGTTCCTCTTTCCGCTCGTGTTGCCGCGCTCTCCTCTCTCTTTCTCTCTCTCTTTCCCGTCGCTGATCCGAGCCTCGTCCCTCTCGTCCTCTTTCCATCGGCAGTTTTTATCGGGCAACGAAGGCACGGTGCTCGCCTCCATTATACCCACATCCATTCTACCGTGGCCCTGCAGGAAAAATCCGGCATCGAGCCTCGTCGTCCACGGTCGAACCGTTCCCCCCCCTTACCCCCCCGCTGCTCTCCGGTCCCTCGGCTCTGCGGGGACCTCCCTTTTCTATCCTTCGACCTCACCGCCGCCCTTCGTCCTCCGTGCCGCGGACCTCGCGGACGCCGCGCGTTCTTTTCTCCTCGCTCTTCACATTTTTCGAACCCTTTTACCGCGGGACCGGCTTTCCTTTCTTTTCCACGGCGGCGTCCGAAACGACAGGCCTCCGGTCCCTCGATTTTCCCGCTGGGAGACTCCTTTGGTAACATCGTTAATAACGTTTTCAAAAGACGAAGAAACCTATTTTTTCCTCGGACTATTTCCCGGTAGTCGTTGCCCGCGACCGATGGAAATCGACTGAGGAAAACGTCTCGCAATAGTGTAAACGCGGTTAATACATTCCGCGCTATGTGAATTCGCGTTACAGAATTTTTCTCGTATAACTCGCCTGATTCAGAGTGACATATTTGAAATGATTATCGTTATGCCAACTTTGAATTGAAAATAAAAATGTAATACATTATTATTATTTATTTATTTATTTATTCATCAGAGTATGAATATTGTTACATATTATTGACGTAATTAGCATATTAATGTAATGTTTGCGGTTTCGAGAATACTATCCGTATAAAGACCAAAAGTTATAAATAGCATTTTACTTATATTTAATGACGATTATTATTATGTCGAATTACCTGTTTTTTAAGATTTCTTAGATGGAAAAATACTTTGACTATTTTGATTATTAGTCAATTGTCTAAAATCACATTGCGAAAAGATAACGACGATGAAGAAGACGATC